CGAAATCATGGAAGCTGGGGGATACAGTGAGCAAGCTCTTCTGGGTGCTGCGATCTGAGAAGTGTACGAAACGCTGGAGTATCTCGTCAGGAAAGGCAGTGTCTCGGTCACATATCACCAGGCGAAAAGGGACGAAAAGTAAGGAGGAAAGAAGCCCCAATTTCGATTGATGTAGTAGTTAAACTCCAAAACCCAGCAAAGCCCAGCAATTATGATCAGCTACCGTCTCCACCTTCCAGCCCCACAGCAGCCATTTCTGATGGTCGGTCTGTGTGAGTGTTGCAGGGCATAGGTGAGCAGTCACGAAGTTTAGTGACGGGAGTAAACGCAGCCGGTGTCGTTAAATAAGGGCATGATTGGAATGACACACGCCATCTGAGTCACACAGGTGAGATAGTGATAAAAGCGCCCATCCCGTGTTCGATACGAGAACTTTACAATTGTTGAGCTTTTCCTGTGTTTTTTGTGGTGCGAGGCGGCCACCAGCCAACTTAAAAACGCCCACTTCAGCCCCGGTTTACCCATCAAACACTAAAACACAGCATCTGACTATTTAGGTTCGATAAAGCGTGAGTCGATGACTTCACCACAGAGAATGTTGCAGATTCACCCCATCTGTGAGGCCCATCAAATCTCATCACATCTGGAAGACGGTCAAATCGGAAAAGCAACACCGGAAGTTTCTGCTCATCTGGGATATCCAGGAAAAACAGCGTAAGAAATTCGGCCCATCGCCGTCTCAAATTTGTTCCTTTGAATGACGCTCTAGACTATTAACTGGAGAAAGAAACAACCCAAATAGTATGATGTGCTTGTTTTACAACGGCATGTTACAAATACCTTATCCTTAAGGGAGGCTTCGTTGTTTATTTACTTAGCCCCTGAACCCCTCACGCAGGCCCCACATCTATCTGGAGCCACCCTGCCGCAAACAGCACACCTCAGATCATCCCGACAATCCACCGCATTTCAGATTCGCCTAACCTGTTTTCCCATTTTCACCACAGTGGAACCTCGTAAGCTCAGCAATGGTATCTCCAAACCTAGCACCCAAACAGCCAGCGTACGCGCCCATGGTGCTCTCCTCCCAGGCAGTCTTGTGCGACAAAGAAGCCAAGTTCATCAACTTTGGACCGCCGCCTCCAGCTTGGCCCTCACCCCGAGCTGGAGCAGCGATAATATTGACACCGCTGCGCAACTCCACCTCTGCCACGGCATGCTGGGCACTCCCACATGTGCTACTAGAAAGACTCCCAAGTCCAATGATAGTGTGAAGCCCCTTCCGGACCGGACCACCGCCCCCCCAAACGCTGCCTGACGTTCCGTCCTCGAGCTGGATGGTGATGGTTTGACAGTCACCACTCAGACCCCCTTCTTCTCCTATATTGACAGGGCAGTACAGCTGTAAAGTGCTCTGACCTTGGACTTCACCGCTGACGAGGTCATCAAACACCAACACGTCATTTCTCCAGACTTTGAGCTGGTGACGAGGCCCAATGGCAGGCGGGCGGCTGAGGCATGCTTTATCGCTGTCTAGCAAGCGGACAACATTGATGAACAAGGCCTCTTGACTTTCCTCGCCACTGTTGCTGCTAACGCTAAATTCCTTGCCAACGGGAAGACAGCGAGCCCACCCAGTCCTGACCTCGTGGCTGAGAGTACGGCCGAGGTATTGTATCATCCTTTCCACCAGATCCTGCACAGCCTGCGACTTGGCGCAGGCTTCCAAGAGCCATGCTCCCGCCGTGGACTCGTCACAGTGACCGCCACCGATATTGTCAGAGAGCGTGATCTTCTCAGCGGCCTCACCGAGCACAAGCCGTGTATACACTCGGTTGGTACCCAGCAGTTCGACGACAGCGTCGATATCACTGCTACCCTCCAAGATTTGCCGCACCGCAGAACTGATGAACATGAGCTCGGGCCCGAACCACTCCAGCGTGGGTGCTTCCGATGCCACGGTCAGTCGCCGCCCGTTGTCAGCTTCTACCACGTAGGTGGCTAGTGGTAGGTTATTGCTGTTGGTCTGGTCCTCGCTTGTGGCGGTTGGCTCAAAAACCAGATCGTAAACGACCTCATCTTCACTGTCTGCCTGATGGGCCTGGAGCAAGTCCGGAATGATGTTCTCCTTGGAGAGTGATTGCCAAGTGGGATTCAGCGAGCTAGCGCGGTCTTTGTCCACAAACTGGAGAGACATATCGCCTGTTGAGGCCGAGGGCAAAAGGATGGGGTGCGTGGCCGTGAACTGTAAGCCCGGGTAGTCGTGGAGTGAGTAGAGCGGTCTCGTACCGCGTCGGGGGGCGCTGACAAACGCCACACGTCTGGTTCCTGGAGGGCCTCCGCTGTCTGTAGCATCTGGAGATAGGACCACATCGCCAGGCTCGACATTGCATATCTTCTTCAGCTTCTCCCCGGCAGGCCCGGCCATGACGACCTTCACATTACTAGAGAAGCAAGAGGATGACTGCGGCGGCTTGTAATACCCCTTGTTCTTTGCGAACTCGTCTACAAGATAGTATCTGATCGTCCGTGAAATCGGGAAACGTCCCATACCGGGAATAACCAGGAGGTCATAATCATCAAGATGCGTGGCGCCTAGGTCACCCCAATCAAGAAAGCCTGAGCTGAGCCAGCCGCGGTACTGCCGCCAGGTATCGGGGTGGATGCTACCAAACGTGCTGCCGCTAAGCTGAGGGGCTGTCGTGGTCAGTTCGTTGTATACATCGCGGATGGTATTATCCGAGGCGCCACAGGCAGCCAACTTGGCAAAGTGGCAGAACATCTCGAGGTCGGCATCACGCCAGGTGCCTTGTCCCGCCTGTCCTTGCTTCAGGTTGCGGTAGGCGGCTGAGACGAGCAGCTTTCGGTACCGGGACGCGAGATCTTCCGAGGGCTCAGTGATGCCGAAGAAGGTGCGGTAGAACTGGATCATGAGGGCTGTTGCCTGGTTGTTGATATGGTTGTTGAATTCCGAAACGGCCGTGTTGGCCTTGTCAATGTCGATGGTTCCCTGCCTATCCCGGACATTGTTGTAAAAGGCCTTGATGAGCAAGGCCGCGGCGCCGGCGGCGAACTTGTCCTTGTCCAACCCGTCTGCTGTGAGCTCTGATGGAGCGAGGTCGGGTTTGTAGCCTGGGAAGACGAGGGTCCGCATGTTCCCGTTTTTCCAGCGGAAGTCGAGCGTCTTTTGAAGGTACGCCACCGTCATTTTGATGCACGGATGTGTTGAGAAGTCGAAGCCAGTGTTGACCTGGGACATTTTGAAGATGTCCCTGACTTGCACGGGATGACGTGCCGGCGGTGTTGGATCATCTGGATTCACTGGCGTCGTGCCTCCAAAAAGCTTCTCGAAAAGCTTCCCAAGGCCGAGGAAATCGACGCCCGCCCTGGTCACGGTGGGTAAGTTCCCGGGAGTTGGTGTTGAGCCATGAGATGGAGCAGGATCAAACTGGCCGACGTCTGGCACGTTGTCAATGATGTCTTCATAGCCGCTGAAGGAGCCGAAAGCCGCCATGATGGTGTCTTTGCCTCAGAGTCCTGGCAAACGGTGGAAACGAAGCCATGGACTGGAGGTGAGAGACGCTTCATCACGTATAAGAGCCTGGAGCTTGGGATCATCCCAGACTCGTTGCAAACGCTCCGCTTCACAGCCACCTTACAATCAATAGCTGAGCTGAATTCAAGCTGAACACTGCAGAAATATATCAGCACAAAACAATTATTGATAGGACTAATGCAAATCTCGGGTGGTGGCAGAGCTCTGATATCCAGAGTATGGGGATCTGATGTGGGGAGGAGACTGTGTGAGAGGTCTAGAACTGTCCGAAATGGGTTAGCTAAATCTCTAGTGTTGAGCTGAAGATCCAAAGCTCTCTAGCCTCTCGACTCCAGGGTTGCATTTCGGCTTGTTCCATCTTCTCCAAAGTAAACAATAGGCTCACAGGAAACGCTGGTTCATGTATTGTCTCCCCAAAGCTGGGAATAGGTGGACTTGCAGTTGAGGGACCTAATAAGACCATATAGTATAGATAGATCAGTAGAAGAACTTTGAATGCACTTCCATCTTCCCTCGCTTCAACAGCTTTTTGTCAACAGCATTCTGCTCTCGCCATTGCACTTGCCAAAACCGACACCATGGCAGACGCTATGTCATACCTGGCCAGTACACACAGCTCTTCTGGTGGTGCCTGCCGGGGCCCGCAGAGCAGGGCCTATCGGAGAGCTTTGCACCGTTACGCCAAGCAAATCAACGCTCTTCCTTCTTGTAAGTTCAATTTTCTCAAACCTCAAGAGTTCTTTTCTCATTTGGGACCAGATGCCAAGGCTTTTCACAAGAACAATCCGCAGTGCTTCGGACTCCCGCGGAGTTACTCGGTGCGTGTCGTCCAGGACGACAATGCCCAGGCGGCTCCAGCCGCTGCCCAAGCTATTGAAGGCAAGACCATTGTGATCGGTCAACATGGTTCTGACAGCAGCGGCCTGCAGCTGGGCAGTGTTGGCGTCAAGCCCTCTGATGTGAACTGGTTCTCTTCGACCAATAGCTATGTCTTTGACACGGTGCTTGAGCAACCGTCAGCCCAGCTTTTTCCTCAACTGAAAGCATCGCGAGTCTCTGGATATGTGAGTCTTGAGGGCAACGCACCTGCAGCCTCAATTGCCATCGGATCGGACGTTATCAATGTCGAGCTCGACAAGAAGGCGAGCTGGTACGATGTCGAGGTCGCAGCCAATGCTGGCGCCTACCTCGACACGCACAAGTCGACGCTGGCTTGGGATGTCAAGTCTGACAAGTGGACTAACGCCAGCTGGGAAGAGGGCAAATTTACCTGGGGTTACGACATCGCCAATAGAGGGAATGACTTGCAGGAGGATTGGGTCGCTGAGAATATGTTTCTTGACAACTGTATGTTTCTCCTCCCCTACTATCTTCAGGTTGGAGCAAGGACGAGTACTGAACTACCTGCACAGACTCCGATCCCCCAACTGAGTTTAACCTCACCATGGACCTGTACGGCCCGGACTACACATGCATCATCGGAGAGAGCACCGATGATGGTGCCTTCATCAACACCACCATCACGAATCGACGTCTTGTGCCCCCTGCCCCAGCCCAACGTAGTCAATCGGCCATCAAGTCTGTCTTCCCAGTCAAGTGGAAAATTCAGATGACCCCCTTCGCCGATAGCTTCGTGGGAGCCTACGAAGACTCTGAAGGCGTGATTTACGCCGTCAAGGGGTCGCTTCGTCTGGAAGAGAGCGCCGATGAATCCGTCGTTGCTGCTAGCATGACTGAGGACCTCAGCGTTGTCGAAGGCACCGAGAAGTCGTTTTCTGCCATGTCCGTCGCAGAGGCACCGTCTTTTATTATGGCTGCTGCTGCTGATGCACCCCCCAAAGCCAAGCTGGCCGTCCATCAACTTATGACCTTTGACCCCATGGTACAGGACAAGGAGGATCCTTCTGGCTACCGCGACTCTGTGGCAACGGTGGCTATGAAGGACTTTCAGAACATCATCATCTATCACATGGACGAGGATCTGAGGACTACCTTCATCAGCGCTTCTCAAGTACACCTTGAGCCTGAGGTGCTGGCAGTCGCCAATGACGATCCGGGCAATGCAGCGTGGTACAAAACGCTCCAGGTTCCCCTTATCACGTCTGTGCTTGCACAAGGCACTACCGAATGGGGCAAACACTGCAACGGAGCTCGCGCAGCTGCACGGCTCAAGTCGATCCCCGCCGAGAGTGAGGTCTACAAGCGGCACTCGGCCAAGCTCTATCGGTACCGCTATTTCGAGAAGTTTCCCGCCATGAAAGAGTTCCTGTCTGATCAACGCAATGGGGGCCACAAGGAAGACTTGAAGAAGTTTGCCGACAGAATGAAGGAGCAGTTCAAAGCCAAGACATCGGGACTCGGCGCCGGCAATCCTGACTTTGAAAAGAACCTCGCAAGCGCCCTTGCTGAGATCGACAACTTGGCCAAATGGGCGCGCGACAAGAACTTGTATTGGGCTATGCAGCTTCTGTACTGGGTCCAGAACTCGGCCGTCAAGATGTGGTACGGCCAGTACATGTCTGGCAGTGTGTCGAGCTCCGTGGCCATGCGGTTGAAGCAGTTGAACACGCTGTTTGGCATTCTTGAGGACAACGCCAACAACACGAAGCCTGGAGGCAAGAGCTTTATGCAAGCCTTCAATGAAGAAGTCAGGCTGTACCAGATGACGGCAATCATCCCGCAGATGGTCGACCTGACTGGCAACACAAAGCAGGACATTGACGACTTGGTAAAGGAGTGTCTGGATCAGTACATCAAGCAGTACCAGAATATCGACATGGAGGCGCACAAGGAGGCCATCGAGGCCGCGCTGCTGCTCTATCAACAGGACGAACTGCGCCGCAAGGTTTTCAAGATGTTGTTTGCGCTTTCCCGCACGAGTAGCACCTTGGGCTCATGGGGTGCCACGATTGAGTTATGGCATCGTGAACTGTACAACAGGCCATGGTTTCAGAATGTTGCCAAAATTGCCAATTCGGTCCGGGTGCTTACCGTCCTCACCAGTGTTGTCGTACTCGTCCAGCCTCTTTTGACTGGCGAATGGAGGAGCATGTCGCCAGAGCAGAAGGTGAAGTGGGGATTGTAAGTTTCTTTCTGTTTGTTTTCCAGTACTTTTGACTTGAGATACTGACAGAGCATGCAGTGCCCTCGGCGGTCTGGCTGGTATGCTCATCATCGAAGTTGCCCAAGGCACCTTGCGTTTGTACCAATTCTGGGGCGACATGGCCGCTAAGCGGTGGTATGAGAAGCTTGGTACCGCCTTTGGCTGGGAAGGTGCCGTCAACAAGATTGAGAATGGCGCTTTGCGGGTTCAAAAGGGATTCGGCAGCTGGTTCACTCGTACTGCCGAGCAGACCAAGGACTTGGCTGCTCGAATTGCTGCCAAGGAGGAGGGGTTGCTCGAGTTCAGCAGATTTGAGAAGATATTTGGCAGGAATGTTGGGGAGTTCATGGGGGCTGTTCTTGGGTGAGTTTCTTCCATTCAGCCCAAATGAAGGGGCTTTGTTTGTGTGTGGCAGCATGGCTGACTCTTTCTCACTAGCGTGGTCTTGGGCATTGTCAGTATCGTCTTGATCCTCATCGAACTCGACTCGAACAAGGACGGTTTGCTCCAGGCGATGGACTGGATCATGTTCACTTCATCTGTCATTCAAGTGGCCGGGATTATCCTCGGATGGGTTGCCGCAGGTAAGTTCACCCTCCCAGTCGTCTTGATGACCCAGAGTGGTGAGACTGACTCCTAATTCCTCTCGGTCTAGGTCTCGGGGCTGCCTATTCAGGTCTCGCTCTCGTTGCCGCATGGTCAGGGCCTATCGCTATCGTCTTTGCTGTCATCGGAATAATCCTGTTTCTTGTCTGGTATTTTACCACCGGTATGTACCCGTCACTTCTGAACCTCTACGTGTACGCTTTTTCCTTGCTGATTACCTCACTTCCAGACCACCGCGATCCAATCCAGAAGTTTGTGGAAGACAAGGCCCGGCCCGCAGGACTTTGGGTAGACAACCCGATGCAAGCATCCGACTACATTCGTACCGTGCCTGCTGTCGACCAAAACCCATCCCTTCCTGGCCTGACTTTCAAGGGACCAATGCGGCGGGCCGGCGATATTGGCCAGGAAGATACCAGCTCCATTGACGCCAAGTATCTGCATCTCGGTAAGACCGAGGGCGCCGTCGACCTCGGCGACGCTCTAGACTACACATCCGACACCATCTGGAGCTTTGAGACAGACGCCTATGGCAAGAGCTTGATCTACACCAAGCGCATCATCCAGGAGAAGGACCGCAAACGAGCAGTACTGTGGTATTTGTCGACGGACGGCAGCAACAACGCCATCGTTAAGCAACGCCCCGGCGCCGACCCCGAGTGGAAGGCGTTGCTTCCTTCCTTGCAGTGGGAGGTCGAGGTCCTAGAGCCGCCAAAGGTTGACGGCAAGAAGAACGTGCTGGCAAGCAAGGCGTGCATTCGCCGAGGCAACCTCGATCTGGGACGCACCTTTGACAGAGGCAACAAGCAGCCCGGCGGACTGGTACTGGTGGATGTTGGAAAGTATGAAGAGGCTGTCAAGAAGTATCGCCTCAGGGACATAATGTACCGCCAGGGTCACGGACCTCGGCCGGAGCTACCAGGGCCTGCGGTGCCATTTTATGTCTGGGAGGTTGAAATGGAGGCAATGGGCCCTGGAAACTTGGAGTACAGCTCGCCCAAGTGGGTGTTGACCAACAAACTCAAGGTAAATTCCACCCTACTTGCCAACGTCATGTACACAATTAGGAAAATGCTGACACATGTTGACCCAACCAGAATGAACGCAATTACCCGAAATTCGACTATGAGCCGAGTGATGCCATGCGCTGGTCCATCTCGCCCCCGCTCGACGCCAACAGCTTTGAGCTCATCACGGCCGCGGGCCAGGACGGCGGTATCGTGAAGCAAAAGGACGGTGTCGAGCCACCGCTCATGTCGCCAACCACGTACACAGTGACGTGCACCGTGACGCGTGGTGGCAAGGATCTCGTGTCGTGCCAGGCTAACTTTACACTCGAGGTGATTACTGAGGAGGAGCTAGCCAAGAGGGGTGATGAGGGGGATGACGAGGAATGAAGGGCTGGAAGGAGAATTAGCTCTGCGTAAGTCCCTGGCGGGACGAATAGGCAGCTCCTCTTATTATTGAAGACTTTTAACCTTCATAACCATCCCAATTTGCTAACCCCATTCATAGACATCCCGGAATTCTCTCTTACTTTCTCTCATTCTCAGCCTTGAAAGCCCCCTTTTTTATCACAACACTCTTCATCGCCTCTTTTTGGCAGACGCTTGACCACAGATATCATGTCTTCTTCAGCAAGCCCAGACTCAATCGCCCGTTTGTATAATGAGCCACACAACTGGGTCAGGAGCGTCTCGGCGCCTGCACCTTCCGCAGCGGCCGTGATAAGCTGAGTGCTGTTGTAGCAGTCCTTTATGGTAGCCTGAGCTGACCAATCCTCCCTGAGAATCTTGTCAACTTTAAGCTTTGAGTAAGCAGAGGCCATCGGCCCAGCCTCGAGCACCTGCCCAAAGGCGTTAAGGTCCAGCCCCTGTGCCGAAGCCAGGTTCGCGGCCTCGGCCAAGCCGACGGTCACGGTGATGAGGAAGGTGTTGACGGCGTATTTCATCTTGAGGCCGGAGCCGACGGGGCCGCAGTAGATGGCTGCGCTGATCATGGGCTGGATGTAAGGTCTGATGCTGTCTGCGATGGAGGGGTTGTTTGCGGCTAGCATGCCGACTAGACGGCCTTGCTGGGCTGGGATTTTGCTGCCGCTGACGGGTATCTCGATGAAGGTGCCGCCTGCGGTTGTGATTGAGGTGTCGAGGTGCTGGCTGAAGGGGACGGAGACGGAGGAGGTGTTGACTAGGGTTTTGTTGCGGAGGTGGGGGATTAGGTCGGGGGTGAGGATGGATAGGATGGCTTATTCGTTGAAGAGCATTAGGAAGATGAGGTCGGATTGGTGGATTAGTTGGAGGGGGGTTGCGGCTGGTTTGGCGATGCTGCTGGGTTGGAGGAGGGGGCGGTATTTTGAGGGGGAGCGGTTCCAGACTGTGAGGGGGAAGTGGTGGGATAGGTTGAGGGCCATGGGGGTGCCCATTGTGCCTAGGCCTAGGAAGCCGAGGCGCATTGTGGGAGGGTATCGGAGGTTGGGTTGGGAGGTTTAATCTGTGGTTGAGAGCTGTGGTTGAAGTGAGAGTACATAAGCTCATTCTTTATCTGGTGTATCTGATCATGTCATTCACAGGGCGTGGTATCCCGTGCCACCGATTATTCACCATGGCCAATAGTAAAGCGTCTCCTTCCTGTCACAGAACTTAGGGACTCTCTACAGGCACCTACTCAGACCAGGCGGCAGACATTACCGGTACATCTAGGAACCAAATCACAACTGCTCCGAGAAGCCGGGCAGGCTCTTCGAGGTCTCGACACTCGAGTCATCATATCAAGCAGCTTAGACAACCACAAACTTCACAGCGACATACCTAAATCACAATAACATCAAACCGTCCCAGTGCTTCATCAAGAGAAAAAAGTTTTCATATTTGATTAAAATTATGTATTGATCCTCATCACCCTCCTCGCTACCTACTCACCTCAAACTCTCCCTTTTCCCACCAGGGGAAGGAAAAAAGGAAGAGCTTTTTCTCAAACACTTTTTTACTCAACCCACCTAGTTAGTTAGTTTAGTTATGTCTCCCATCCCCACGATGCTCACGACCCCTATGCTCCATATGATGACGGTAGCACTTCCCATCAATGTAAACTGCCCGAACAGTGATTGCCGCCGGGGTAGGGCAAGCGGCCCCCTGGAGAACGTGGCTGCAGGGATGGGTGCGGACGGCGGGTTTGTTCTTGACCACGCAGCCGCAGGCCCAGATGTTGGAGGTGTAGATGCACATTTTGTGCTGGTGTTTGTGGGTTGAGTGGGGGGGGAGGGGAAGGGGGGGTAAATACTTACCTGCTTGAGGTGGTGGGTGTTGGTAGATTGGTGATGGGGTTGAGTGAGTGAGTGATAATGACGATGATGAGAAGTTGTGGTGAGATGGATGGGGTGGAAGAGTTGGTTGTTAGTCTGTGGGGATTTGTGTAGCGGAGAATATACAATGGGATTGTCTGATGGGATATTACATTAGGGATTGATGTCTTTGTCTGTTCTCTTCTTCCTATCTTCCCCGTATATTGGGCTTTGTCTTGAGTCCTGAAATAGCTTCATTCACAAACGGTGCTTGGTAGGTAGGCTCTTGAGGCGCAGAATTAACTTTGCAGAGAAGAGGCTGTAGCTGGACTTCCCAGGATGGTTCAATATGGCTAACGGCAGGTCTCTAGTAAATTCAGGTAACTTAGGTAAGGGTGAGGTTCAAGCAAACATTTACAATTCTCAGGTCAGCATGGAGGCATCGAGTTACCTTATCTTTAATCCCTCGGTCTTGAGGAGAAGAATACACACGATTACGGTCAGAAATATGTCATCCAGAGTTAAGAACAGTGTTGTTAAAAATAAAAAAGAGTGTTTTTATTGCATTTATGTTTTGGTTGTCATCACACAGTAATTAATACTTGCCTCACCTACTTTGCCTTGACATACCTTACTTACCTTACTTACCTTACTTACCTTACTTACCTTACTTACCTTACTTACCTTACTTACCTTACTTACCTTACTTACCTTACTTACCTTACTTACCTTACTTACCTTACTTACCTAACTTGGCCCTACTTACCTTGCTCTACGCTTGCCTCTTTGCCTTCCTCCACGCTTGCCTCTTCGTCCGAGTCATTCAGGTTGGGAGTATCTTGAGTGAGAAAATCGAATTTCTCTCTGATCCTGTTCTCCCGCTTGATCTCCAGTTTCCCATCATTGTCCTTGTCCAGAGGATCGGGAACACCGGGCTGGTGAATAGGGCAGGGCCAATCTCGTGCTTTCGGCGCGACAACAGGGTTGGAGCATTCAAGAACCTGATGGGTAGTAACAGAGTGGCATGTCCAGATTTTCTCTGTGCGGGGAATAGCCTCACAGCCGCAGTAGACGTAGTTGGCGTAGTATTCAAACATCTTGAATGAGATATGTGGTTGGTGTTGGTGGTGGTTTGGTTGGTTGGGTTGGTGAAGTGTTGATGTCTGAGTCTTTACGTAGGTAGATACCTATCTATCAAAAAGGCTCGAGAGTTTGATGATGGTCATGAGAGAAGAGATGAGGCATGACGGAAAGGCAAGGATGCTTAAGTAGACCGACATCTGGATAATGTTGTGGTACGAATAACGATATTATCAATACGGATGATGACCGTTTATAGAGAAGAATACTGAAGTATCTACATCACTCACTCTGTTTCAAGTCCGTTGATCTTTCCCTTGCAATAATTGGCGTCATGGAGCCGCATATGCTTCTGTTCGTGGAAGAAATGCTGAAAAGCTGGTTGGTACTTATACGGAGTTTCCTTGCTGATACCTCTTCTTAACTCCAGAGCAGAGGTATACTCATTATATGGCCGGCAGTCTTTGGTGTTATGCCTTCATCAGTACTCTGGTAGGTAATCTCTAAAATTACATTCACTGGGTACGTGTTCTGGGAGATAATACAGTCGTTGGTAGATATACACAAGGTAACATTGGGAACGTAGGTAGATGATATGTTTTGATAAATTCGGGTTTTTATTTTGTTGGCTCTCACTCAGCTTGGGTCATGTCTATAGAACCAGATCCTTGACAAAACTTGACTTCAGACTCCAACTAAAAGTCGAGACTAAATCTCAACGGGATATGTCTACGGCGCACTACGATTGTCTCCGGTAGCACCCAAAACACCACTGCCACGGCAGTAAACCACAGAATATACAAAATACAGGAGGCCACAACCGCATATACGATGAAAAGCCCCATCTCCAGAAGCTTAAACCCCAAGTGAACTAGGTCCATGATACCCATGGTGCTTGGCTATTCTGTGTTGCGGTTGAACTTCCTAGAATAATTTGGTGGGAAACAAGAATCCATGACGGCAATGCACTTGATAGCTGTTCTTAAATAGATGAAAGCCGTGAGGCTCAACTGGAGAGGATAATGAGATTGTTCATGAGCCAGAACCCACCTGAAACATTGCTTTGGCAACTGGAAACAGAGCTGTTAACCTGCTTAATGTGGTCATTGCTAAGTGGACAAAGATACCGGATGGGCAGGTGTTAGTAGCACTACTTTGGGGACAATCACATGGTTTCAACACTCCAGAACAACACCTGTTACAACAAAACAAACGCTTTTGCCCTTCAGACAATACTATTATTTCAGCACCGCCGTGATCATTCACGACACAAAACTTCTCCCCTGGTGGGAGGAGTGAGGGGATGAGGTAGGAGACTTCGTCGGGTTGATTGATGATTTGATCATTTTTGGATGTATTTAATATAATAAAAAAACTTTTTTCCTCTGGAGTATTTATTTTCTCTTCTTGACCATTGAATTTTGAATGTGATACCTACCTATGTACGAAACGGCCGTTGTTTCTTTGACTGCTTATCAACTTCCTACTACACCTGGAAGAAGAGATGCTGTTCTGTGTCGCAACCCGCGCTCTTACGATGTCTTCAAACTTCAAAGACTGGATCCTAGAAGAAGGCCTGCTGACGTACCTAGGTGTGTTATTGCGACGTATCTGTTTGCAGCAAGTATGTGGGCGAACTGCTACGAGAGCTATTAAGGCTGAGATGCCTGTAAAACAAAGCTTACTTACCTACCTACCCTCTCCTATAAGCCTATTTTGTGTACCTTCTCAGAAGGCAAGATGAAGAGACAAAGCATTGTTCTTAATAGTGCCACTGACTATTTTAAGAACTTGAACCCAAAGAACACGAAGGAAGACAAAGCCTCTACTATTCATTCGACCACAATCCATTGTCCCATCAGATAGATATATAAACCCGCTCTTCCCCGCCTCAAATCCTCTCATCCCATCATCATCATCATCATCACCATTTCCTACTTCCGGTAAGTAACAAACCACCACATCATCTCTCCCCTCTCACAACAACACTTTACTCGCATCCATCCACACCACCCAACAACAACAACAACATGTGCATTCACACCCAATACTGCTACGGCTGCGGCTGCATCATCCCCGGCCATGTGGTCCGCGCCGAGAAATGCGCCCATGTGGCTTTGGGTCTGTGTGGAGTGGGTTTTCATGCGCGAGTATATTTTGTCTTGTTGCGAGAAATATGAGGATGAGAGGTTCTGTTAAGTTTGCAGAAGGCAGTCAGTCATCTTTGAGACATGACTGGTAAGTTCATAATATACTAATAATACCTAGCTCCCTCCCCTGGTGGGAGCTGTGGTGGGGGTGATGATCAAAATAAAAAAAGATCTTTCGAAAGAAATATTGTGTGCCAGTTCATGTGTTTGTTGTGTATATTGATTGATCTGTGTGACTTTTATGATCTGTGACTTTGTAAGCCCATTGTTTAGTACCTACCATACTGCACCAGCTTTAATACACACTTAAATTTTGTGTAAATCTCGTAACATTTGGTAAAAGGACATTTACTCAGTGGTCTTGAGTTAGGTAAGAGGAGTCTTTGCAAGTCCTTGAAGTCTTCCGTCAACAGTCAGACAGAGACAAAGACATATATGAGGTCAAATATATAGTATCGTAATCACAAAGCACAATTACAGCAAGGATAAAAGATAATAGAAGTCCAAGAAAAAAGAAATTCATTCGTTTTTGGTATCAAAATTCCCAAAGAAAAAAAAGGGTTTGGTTGATCACCATCATTCACTTACTTACCTGTAGGCATTCTACCAAAACACGTCTTATCCCTCCCACCTGTGGAAGTACTGTCATGTTATCTCAACAACTCACCTACTTGTAACTCCGTCTCTTCTTAGGAGGAGGAGGAGTATGAACAGCACACATGTGCTATCGCCTGATAATCGGTTGAGGGCTCTGGCAAGCTCAGCCAGCAATTCTGACCTCAGCGCAGAGGTAGGACACCTGGACAGAGCCAGCAGGACACCCACAGGCGAAGAACTATTGCTCGTATTCACACATGGTTGTGTAAGTGAAGTGGATTGGTTTGTTGAGAGTTTGGTTTGGGTTAGGGGGGAGACTTTGTCAAAACGTCTCGAGTGTATGGATGTACTGATGATGATGAGAAGAAGCTAAGATGAATGTGAGGAAAGGGTGGCGCTTAAATAATGGTGTTGGGAGGGGGTAGTGAGGGTTGGCAATGGAGTTGTTGATGATAGGATGCAGTTGATACAATGCTTTGGTGGTTGTACTGTGTGATTAGTCTGTGTACTACTCAATTTGTTCTATGAACAATGAAATTGCTGAGACGATGGAGCGTCCTTAAACAATATCTGTAGACGTACTGCCAAGGTCTTTACAGTTGGTATATCTCTCTCCAAGTTCCTAAAGAAAAAGGTGCCTGGTAAACAAGAAGCCCGATGATAGATATCACATCACAATTAGCACAAGTATGGTATAGTATTAGTTCTTGATGGAAAAAATAGATATGTTTATAACAATATGATCTAGAATGACACTTGCCATCCTAGCCTCCCCACCAGGGGAAGAAATCGACCACCATCTTAATCCTACCGCGTCCTCCACCAGGGAAAAAGGCCACCTGCTATTCACTACCTACGTACTTTCTCACCTGCATGATGAAGACGTCTACCCTCCCGCTGAAGCTGCGGGCAAGGATGGTCCATATACTTCTTGATCGGCGGTCTAGGGTATTGGCAGGGCTCCTCGTCGGGACACCGGTGCATGCATTGCAGCAACCCCGGCACCTTGCAACCGCAGGAGTAGAACCACTCATAGAAAACACACATGGTGCCTGTTGTTTGGGGTGATGGGTTTGTAAGTGTTGGTGTTGGTGATGATTTCAGGCTTTGCGGGATACTGGGATGAACAGTCAGAAAGCTCAAATAGTGGGCATGAGAAAGATGATGATGAGAAAAACTTGGATGGTGATGAGGGAAGAAGCCTCGTACTTAAATAGACGAATATTTTTAGGATGGTGAACTGCGAATAATAGACTTGTACAACAGAACAATGCATGGTGCAATTTGGAAAAAAATGATGTCTTTGAACAATGGGTTAACTCTGCTTGCAGTCAAGCTTGAGACTATTACGATTTGATGTTGGATCACCGTTTATGAATCATGATCAAAGTGAGTTGAGTTCGGAACATTGTCTTGTTTACAAACCCGAGTTCTTTCTGTTTTGCTTAAGCTGGCGGTTAGCGGCCCCGACTTGGAGCGTCCTTTTATCGGCGCTTCTCATTACTTCTAACCCCAGAATTGTTCTCTCTCAGGAAGGCCAACAGGGCACGTATCTCAGTTATGTCTGCGGTGTTGACTGAGATGGATGACCGGCAACCGATGACCACCACCTCCGATATTGTGGGGCACCTCGCGCCTGCCCATCAAGGTGCCCACATCCAATACTGCCAACCTCACCGCTCTCTACTAAACCCTAACCCTTTCTCAACACCACCTATATCCATCATGACATCCATCATCACATCCACCACCCAGGTCCTCACTGGCACCCTCACCAGCCCTGGAATCGACCCTAGCACTGACACCGGCATCGACATCAGCACTGGCACCTACACCCATCAACCTCCCTGCACAAGGCCTTCCCGTCCCATCACTGCCCACGACTTCCATCAACCAACCCACCTGCGCTCCCGACTGCTCTCCCACATCCTCAACACGATACCCATTCTCTCTACGGTCCGTGCCTACTCTCACCATCAGCTTCACTTTCAACGGCGTCAACGGCTTACAAATCACAATCACCTCACCTGCCTGCCAAGGCCCTGCCTGACACCTTATACACCTGCCATGCTTTGGCCGTGCCTTGGCAGTCAGTCCAATTCTTCGTTCAGATGTTCAAACTGTCTTCCAACCATGGCCTGTAGGCCCGTGAGCACCAAAAACAATATCGGTATTATCTTTTTGACGCCTTTCCCAAGGGCCCCACGACAGTCTTGCCATCGGGAAATAGAAGTGGTAAAATCTCTGTTACTTGCACTTCGTACCTTAATTCCAGTGACAAATTTATCCCGCCATAAGCAATGTTTTCGGACAGCTCAAATGCGATTGGACAAGAAGGAAAGTCAAGGTCATATCGGTACCCAACCTATTACCAGTTGCCTAACCTCAGCATTTTTAACTTGTATATCTACTACTTACTTTATCTAAGATACCCAAGAAGCACTGAAATTCTCGTAAACTCGTGGCCAGATACCGCTACCAACTCATTACTCTTTCAACTGGACTACACCAAACCTAACGACCTGCCTGAATGTGGTTGGCGAAACGACTGGCTCGCCCGGCAACGGGTCGCGACGGCCTTGCCCAGCATGACTCTGCGGTTGCAGAGGTGTCCGGCCAGATGCCAGTCTCGACGTCCGGCGCTGAGCGTCACATAATGAGAATAAGAGACTTAAAAGGCGTAGGCCATCCTACCGGATATCCCAAAGACCAACAGGGAATCGCGAACTTGCAAGGCATCCTCTCCGCCACGTCACAACTACGTTCTAATTTGTCGCAAGCCTGCAAAAAACATGTACCGAAGGCCCTCCCATTTCTTGTGGGAGTTGATACAGAATGTTGATGACAACAATTACGTCGCCCATGACCCCACACTAACCATCACGTACAAAATTCGAGTGCTTCGGTTTGATTCCAATGAAACTGGGTTCACAATGGAAGACGTAGAAGCCATCTGCAGTATGGGCAACAGCTCAAAAACACGAAGCTCGAGCACTCGCATCGGCCGGAAAGGAATTGGCTTCAAGTCTGTTTTCAAGGTTGCCGAATCAGTGTACATCGCATCTGGCTGTTACTCCTTCAGGTTCGATTCTAGGGAGAGTCTCGGCATGATGATACCGGTGTGGTCAACGTTCCCGGAAGAGCGCATCGCTGGGTGGACATCGCTCCTCCTCCACCTTTCTCCCGAATGCGATGCCAGTGAGATTCTTCAAGAACTCGAGAGATTGGATTCGAGCAGCATACTCCTTCTTCGGAGACTAAGAAGAGTGCATATCCGTATTGTCTACGATGGCCTCCATGGCAAAGAAGTTACTTTCGATCTTACACGGCCGAACATCACGTGCAAACCTGGCGAATTACAGACCCTTGAACTCCCAGACAGTGCGCAGTCTCCTCTTGTGCTTTACAGGCATGGTGTATCTCGATTGCCATCGACCGATTCACACGGGACCAACGAACAGTCAGACATAGTCTTGGTCTTTCCGCAGCCCCGATCCCTGAGCTCAAATATTACGTGCTTCACATTCGCTTTTCTTCCTATCCGAGACTATGGGTTCAGGGTCCGTCAAGCAGTGATTTTGTTCTTCTCAGACTCTCTGGTCAACTGACAAGGGTGCAGTTCGTTTGCCATGCCGACTTTGATCTCGTTGCCAACCGTGAAGATGTCGACATGTCTTCGGCCCGCAATCAAGTCTTCTTGCATGAGCTTCCCAAAGCTTTCCTCAGGGCGGTTCACGCCCTGAATAGTGGACATCTTCGCTATACCTGGCCGTATTATCTGCCCTTCCCAACAACAGACAGCTTTTTTGAGCCTCTTCCAGGAGATATCATTACCCTATTGTCTCGAACACCAATGTTAGAGTCAGATGCCGGGCACCTCATGGCCCCAGAAAAGCTCACCTGGGTTTCCGACCCTTACACTGACGACCACAACAGGCCATTGATTCCACAAGACTACTCTACGTTTCTCCATTTTTCCAACAAGTACCATGCAGATCTGCAAGAGCGGATCATGCAGCTTGGTGTTAATGTTCTGTCAAAAACGCAGTTTATCGAGGAACTAAGTTTGTTTATTACGAACGAAACACACAACTTTCGGTAAATGCCCGATTCGTGGCACGCGAAGATTAGTAAAGTGTTATGTGACCTTCTTGAAGACTACATGGGCGACATATTGAAGCTCGAGATCGTCCCGTTACGTGACGGTCGATGGGTCTCCGCAAAGTCCGAAGATTTGTTAGACATACCGCTTGATGACAACGACTTGGTCGTACCCAAAGGACTTGGACTGGCAGAGATTTCCCCTCAGGCTGCGAAGAACTCTCACAGAAGGCGGCTAACAGAGAGCTTAGGTGCAAGGAGGGTTCAACAGGCAGATGTCTGCGAAAGGATATTAGCAGCACATCGGGTACGGCCCAGTGTCGATGTTCAAGATACTTCACATCGCGCCTTGATAAGCCACGCTCAGTTTCTCTACCGGGCTGGGTGGACAGCAGGACGGACGAAGGCCGACCTCTGGCTTGTTGTGGAAAACCTTCGCCCTTGTCGAGCTTCCCGAATTTATGTGCGCTCTGACGACCCATTTTCTGCTAGCCAACTCTTGGTCTCACACGAACACTCATTCGCGTTTCTCCATGAAGAGGCGTCGCCACCACTTACCCACTGTCCGAACTGGATCGATTGGTTGCAGTTAAATCTACACGTTGCCGTTTTTCCTCGTCTCGTCGACCTGAACGGCCCTGACAATCTGGGCTTTGTCCTATCTGCCGACTTTCGATCCCTGGCTGAGCAGTCAGAGTGTAACAAATGGCTAGAACTTCTCTGTCGAAGGTGGGAACACTACCGCTATTATGTAGTGGACGACGCAGAATCCGAGTCAGAATTCATATCCCTCGCCGAATCAGAAAAAGCGACCCTGAAAACCTCGAGGCAGCGTTTGAGATCAGAGCTGGCAACCCTAAGTGCCTGTTGCATCGATGACAACGTCCGCCGCTCTCTTGATAGGACTTTTCTGCCACGGCAAGCCGTCCTGTCTAGCCTTGATGCATTATTGTCATCATCCGAAAAGCCTGGGTCCTGCGTCCTTGCCATTCCAGACCCAGAAGATGTCGCATGAAATGTTTTGAAGTACCTGGGGGTGCAGACCTCAGTAAACGCAGACGCTTACATCACACGGTTACGGCAGTTGCAACACGCAGAAGCAACGCGAGATGAAGTGTTAAGACTCTATCAACACCTCCATGCGAGTCTGACAGATGAAAATCAAGGCTATACGAGGTATGGCGACGTTATCTCATTTTGTGGTATTTGAAGTTAATGAGAGGCAACAGGAAAGCATTTGCAGAGCTTAAGCTGCTGTTTCTCCTGAAAGGGGAGTCTGCTTCTGTGGGTGTTTGGCTCAGCACCGACGATTGCGTGTGGGATGGCCTGGGTTGCTTGAAACGGACGCCACGCATCATCCAGCACTATCCAGAGCTTGAATCATTCTTCCGTGACTCGCTAAAAATTCCGAATACTACACTGAAAGACCTCGTCAACGAGGCTCGTCGTATAGTTCCGTCAGATTCGTTAGAGCATATCCAGCAAGTTCTCAAGGCCACCAGCGCACTAATCCAACCAAAAGCGTGGAAGGAGAATCGGGATGCTGGGGTGTTGCAGCTTAAGGCATTAAATATATTCCCAGCATGGTTGGGAGAATCCGGGGGACAGCTCTACCAGCTCAGATCTGCCATACCCAGCCTTCGCGGGGGTGACTGGTATATTGCGGACCGTCCACATCTGCTTGCAAGTTCTGAAGGGAGAGTGGCCTTCCTGACCATGAGCTTATCAAAAATGCGAGCTTGTTCGAACCTGTTCCAGCTCCTTCAACTGGAGGATCGCATGTTGTCAAAACTGGCAGTCAAGGTGTCGCATGTCCAAAACGACGCTGGACATAGCCCTGTCCACACTATGAGCCTTCGTGCCAAAGCACACCACATTGCCCGGTATGCTATTGAACCGCTTTTCTTCCTCCGACTCCCAACCATTCTCCCGCTTGACCTTCGTCCATGTCTATATCATAGGTAGACTTGAGAGTATAGCAGTCACCGACAGCTCGCCTCTGCAGTCTCCTTTCTAGCAACACCAGTATCGCGGAGAGGCGAGCTATCGTATCGCAGCTCAATCACATTCATGTATCCCTACTGGGAAAAATTGAGTTCGATTGGGAGATAAAAGGTACTGGGCAAAGGGGCCGGACCGAAACTGGTGCCGTGGCCCTGCATCTGCATCCAAATATGCTCGACGTATACATATCCTCGGAGGAAGCGGTTTTAGGGTTCTCATCTCTTGAATTACTGGAGGAGCTTTGGGTATGGCTGAACATCGTGGACGGCGAATGCACATCGTTGCTACACCACGTTCTCACCGAAAGGAACGCCGAAAGAGTTGACGCGAGCCTTCGCAGGAGAGGCGTGCCGGAAGACGTCCCAGAATGGGACGACGTAGCAAATTCTATGGAGCAAGGTGAGTTCTCTGGCGCCATGATAGGACCCGCCAAGCCCGCCATCTAACATACATACCTAACCCAATCAGCCATCTCATCGTGCAAGCGGTGCGCCAGCATTACGTTTTCACCCGCTCCTACCGGGGGAGACCTGTCAACGGGCGATCGCGAATTTCAGAAATCATACGGAGAGCAGGGTCCTTCTAGCAGAAACCACAACAGCGCTGGGAACTCCAAGGACAGTGGTGGTGTAAGGCCGGTGGCAGGGCTTTACAAGGAGTATCTTGAGTCTCGGGAACCCGCCGCCAACCACACTTTTCACGACATCAAGGATGGTATTGTTCCGCTGAGACCTTTGTCTGTTACCTTTGGTGGAATGAGGCACAACGACCCGCAGTTTATGGGAGAATACACGGTGAGATACGGACACCTTGCTTGCTGAAGTCCTCCCCGTGAGATAAGTACGGTACTCATAGTGACGGGGAATGCTGCCAGGTCTCGGAATACTTATCACGATCCCTTGGCGATGGTTATCAACCCACGAAGCACTGGAAAAGCCCATTGCGTGTCGATGCTGGACATCCCGCTCCCGAGCAAGACGCAAAGCCTGCTGCCACTTTTGTGATCACCGACGTGTCCAACAAGTTGCGGTCGAGGCTTTTTGAAGACGTTGACCAACGTCTGAAGATATTGGCGGTGCAGGTGACATTTCACCTGTCCGTCTATGTAACTGAAGGGCCACTGACACACCGTTTCGACTTACAAATACACATGCTAAGTTGATGAGTTGGCAACATTTTGACCGGAAAATGATATCGCATTAACCACCATCTCGCTCAAGCCTCAGGATTTGGCGTTAAGCAATCTCAAGGCAGCGGACCATGTTTTCGTGTTGCTCCGTGTTTACAACGTCACGAAGGATGGTCGCGTGGCTGTCTTCATCGACCCTTGGGCCCTGGTTGCAAAAGGTCTGCTCTCGATTGTCCCATATGGTGGGTGGCAGTGTACCTTGAACACTCCGGGCAGTACCAGCCCTTCCCACCTCAACATGGATGCGGCGAGCACGTAACCAGAGCTGTCCAACCATTACAAGTACCTCCCTTTGCAACCCATCACATCCGGTTGTTGTACCTTCAGCCACACAAGGGCCGAGCAGAGGCATCGCTCCAGGCGTCTATACAGCACGTAGCCCTTTCATCTAAGCCGCACTTTTCCGCCCTCTCCTACATCTGGGGAAACCCCGATATGGCCGAGAATCTAGAGACTTCAGAAGGTAACATCCCAATAACTCGCTCCCTAGCCGCCGCGCTGCGACGAATCCGACGTGAGAAGTTGCCCGTGTCAATCTGGGCCGATGCCGTCTGCATAGATCAGCACAATTCGGTCGAGAAGAGCGCGCAGATCCGTTTCATGCAACGGATTTACCAGCAAGCAGCCGTGATCCTAGCCTGGATAGGCGAGTCCGATAGCCATAGCAGCGGCGCCCTTCGCTTTCTCACAGAACTTCAACATGGTGGCCGGGTCAAAGCAAAACTTCCGGGAAGCAACGATGCGATCTGGGGCTCTCTAGACAGGTTACTTTCACGAGAGTGGTTCTCTCGCATTTGGATCGTCCAGGAGCTTGTCTTGGGCTCCAACGTCGAGGTCCTTTGCGGCAACCAAAGCATCCGGTGGGAGGACTTCTTCGCCTCAACCGTCCTAGCATGGCAAAATCGTACCGACGCACTGCCCAATGCCGAGGCAGCGCTCGCAATGGGGTTTGCCCGGCAGCAGTTCAAGCATACACGACACAAGCTTGGCTTCTTCGAATTTCTCGAGTCCTTCTACACCAAGGCGACGAAATGCGAAGACAAGATGTTTGCCCTGCTGGGGATCGCTTCCGATGTTGCAGAGGAGGAATTCGATCCAGACTATGGGTCCGGGGTCGAGGCCGTAGCGCGACGATACGCAATGAAGTTTGTCGAGAAGGGGATGGTGTTGGATCTCCTGTACCGATCAGGAACGGGAAGGTTGGAAGGGCCAGCTGTTCCGTCACCCCTAGCGTTCCCATCTTCGTCCTGGATCCCCGATTTCACAAGTAGCTCCTTTCCCAAAACAATCTCCAATTGGAGGAGTGGGACCAGAAGATATTTTGCCGGACACCGCGGCGTGCCGGAGGCTTCGGTGCAAATTCCAGGTGTAGCGGGGAGAGGCATGGCACACAAGCCAGTCCTGGCTATAAGAGGGACTATCATCGACAGCCTTACAAGCACTACAAAGCTAAGGGTTGCTACTGGCAACTTTGCCTCGTTCACAGCGGCGAATGAGGATCTCGAAAGATTCTTTACCTTTCTGTCCGAGTATCCAACCGGTGAGTCTTTGGAAACAGTCAGGCTCATGCTGGTCATAGGGGGAGCCACCGGCCCACGCTCCCCAGAATTGATACTAGGCCGATCCCATTGGCCTCTCGACCAAGTACGTGACGCCAGCACCAACGTCCCAGAGAGCGGCACGTGGCCCGCAAATCTCAAGGACGAGATACTTTGCGCGAGACAGGGAGGAAACGTGGCCATCTACACAGACCGTCCACGGTCTTCGCTGGAGACAGTCGTCCTGTATTGGCGGACAGCCGCGGCATTCACCAAGCACATTTTCAGGGCGAAACTGTGCCACACCACCAAGGGGTATGTGGGACTTGTCCCAGGAAATGCCCGCCCCGGCGACAAGATATGCTTGTTCCGAGGCGGCGCAGTACCCTTCGTACTGAGGCCTGCAAGGGTTGCCGGCCAGTACTGGCTCGTGGGGGAGTGTCATATTCACGGTATCATGTATAGAGAGGCTCTGAGATGGAAGGAGGCTAAGGAGCCGAACATTATCTGTCTTGTATAGTTTGGTAGAAAGCAGCAAAATCTACCAGGCTCTCTGAACTACCTGATCCTTGACCAGCATGTGACTGGATACACTGGATAGCACCTCAATGAACTGCCCTGACAAGCGTTGGCTCTCACCTTGTAATCCAGGTTCCGCTACTCTGGCACGACGGTGTATCTAGCTATCTGTGGTACAGGCCGAGCATTAGATGAGGTAACCTCGGCAGTGCTATGTACATCCGACTACTCTGCCTCTGTTTCCTAGTCAGTGCCACTTCCGAATGTGCCGCGAATGCTTGGGTCTCCTTTAGTCAATCATGCGTTATCAACGGCCGAGCGCTCAGGCTCAAGTTGGTCGCGCGCATCTTGCAGCCAGCGTTTTAACTCGAGCTTCTCTGTCTTTTCCCGGTGTATATTGGTCCTGAGATTTTGAATCATTCTCTGAGCATGGCTGAGTGAAGTCCTCAAGGTTTCGTTTTCGAGCCTCGAAGGGAGGTCGCTGCCGGGCCTGTCAGGTGGCTCCTCCGACTGAGCATCTTCATCCATTGAAAGACGGCGTCCTCTTTGGCTCAAAAAGGCTCTGGCAAGCTCTTGGTTTTGGCTCGTTAGTTCATCAACCTTTCTTAGCAGGACTGACCGCTCTAATTCCACGTTCGCGACAATACGGCGAGATGTGTCTAGTCCAATCTCAAGATTTCTTTGCCCGGCCTGTACAGACTCCCGGTACCGTTCCGCCTCCTCCGCCTGTTCCTGCAACGCTTTTCTCGCCATCGCGGCTTGTACCTGCAAGTCCTCGTTTGCCTTCTCGAGCTCCTTCATCTGCACCGTCCAATCTTGCAAGACTTCCGCGTGGCTCTCCTCCTTCCATCTTGCTTCCTGCAACTGCTCATCCTTCTCCTCCAACAGACTCTTCAGGGTTTGGACCCTCCGGTCCTGAAACCACACGCGTATGCATGTGATTGTCGCGTTGATAGTATCATCATGGGGTTGATGCAGGGAAGCGGCAAGCTCTGGGAATTTCTCGGCTGGGTACTCAACAACCTCTACCTCGACGCTGTTGGGTATTCCAAGGTGTAGGAGTGCAACAGAATTCGCCATGGCTCTCTTGCGGCAGCTGTTTGGTAAAACTGGGTCCAGACTTCAAGCTCGCAATATGGCGAGAAGACTACCTAACGGAAGATGTCCGAATATTGGGAAAGACCAAAGTGCGGGAAATCAGCCAGCTATTCCCAACCAGTACCCATGGGACCTTAACAAATTCAATGGTCGACAAGCCCGGCACAGGGTCAGGGGTTTAACTAGACGCCCCCGAATGACCCCTTTACCCAATAACAGAGGTTTATACAATAAATCTGCAAAGGAACTTCATAAAGTACCTTGTATGGACCGTCTGCTTCCGACGTTCTATGTAACAGGTGATGCGGTTTGGGTAAGGTACTAGGAAGCGTCTCATTTGGCCAGTTTAAGAGAGTTGGTTTCTTTTCAGATTACGATAAAAAGTGGATGGTAGGTTTATTAGAGTCTCCAGTAGGTACTTTATCTCCAACTGAAGGGCTGTGAGAGCCAGAGCAAGCAACATGGAAGCTTTCACAGTCGACATTCTGAGCTTCACCTTCTTGACGGGAGGGGGAAGGAGCGAGCGGTCGTTAACTTCATCCGCACGTTCCTTCACTGGTGGCCACATGCTGGCTTTCTGGGAGCAAAACGGCAGGTACTTAGGTGACACTTTCCAAAACTCACAGCGTAGCGCTATGTAGTTTTTACCTGGTACTATAAAAGCCTTTAAGGGAGAGAACAAATGGTCTGAACCTGTTGGGTGGATGTGAACAAAAAAGCTAATACTGCCCTTGCGCCACCTCCCTCATGGCTGCCAATCAAATCAGAGCGCATTGGGGCACTGTTTAGGCTTCCCATGATAGCAAAGGAATATTTCCTACCTAGGCGCCTAAGCATGTGGGGCGGGCGTGGCTTATGTTGGCTCAAGTTTGCATTCTACAAGTCAGGGCTAGTCCTGGGATTATTACCTATTTTCAACAACTGATTTTCTTTACAGAAGTGGAAAAGACTCTCACTTGCATCCATGGAACAGTTACTGGATCCGCTCTCGCTTGTCTGCGAAACAGATCTCAAGACCATCTTTTCGCCTGATGGTTGGAGGTCCCTTTTGAACACGACCCCGGAAGACATGTATACATATGACACTCCCTATGAAGCCGTGCAAGGGGCCGTCAGGCGAGGATGCACTTGGTGTGGCGAACTCAACAGACTTATAAAGATGCTGGGATACCCTCCTGGGGGAACCACTGTCACCGTCTTCGTGGGCCTCGATGATGTGGACAACCATTCATGGACCCCACGGCAGAGTCAACTGGAAGTTCGGGTCGTAATCAATGGTAAAGGAATCACCAACTTGTATCACATCTACACTGTCGCAGACGATCCAGCAGCCGTTCATTTTGCGGCCCGTGAACAAATTACAGACCTCTGTACCCCGGAGAGCTTCGCCTTAGCTCAGGAATGCATCGACAACTGCGTCAAGTTTCACGCAGACTGCCAAAGCCCCGATCTATTCACGCTGCTTCCAGACCGCGTCATCGATTGCTCAGATCCGTCAAACCCCAGACTCATTCTCACACATGGAACTCAGCCAGGCCTGTATATAACGCTGAGCTACGTCTGGGGCATTGACCAGCCTCTCAAACTCACCACTTCCAACATCGAAGAAATTGTCGGCCATGGGATACCCATCTCAAGCCTCCCACGAACCATCCGCGATGCCATCTTCGTTACCCACTCTCTCAAGCACCGATACCTCTGGGTTGATGCTCTCTGCATCATCCAAGATTCTGACGCCGACAAGTTGAAACAAATCTGTCAAATGAGCCGCATCTACCGCGAGAGCTACCTCACCATCATAGCAGCCAGCGCAGCTACCTCAAGGGAAGGCTTCCTGAGGCAAACCCGGCTGCAGAGAAACCCATCAGCACGTGTACCCTTCCACAACAACAACCCCCGAGACCCAACAGGAAGCAGAGTAGGCATCGTCTCCCTTCTCAACACACACGAAGCATACTCCCCTCATGGGAAATCAGGCCTCCCCGTCGAACCAATCGACTCCCGCGCCTGGACGCTGCAAGAGCAGGTCCTCCCCTCGCGCACTCTGATCTACGACAGTGAGACCCTCAAATACAACTGCCAGACCGAAGCCGTCAGCATAGGCCAGGCGCTCTGCGGACCAAGCAGAGTGCGCCTTCCCCGGATACTCGCTTGTTCAACATCAGGCCAACGATCCAAAGAGTTGTCGCCCCAAGAGAAATGGGAGGCGCGTGTTGCGTGGCTTGAAATCGTCGCTTCTTTCACACTGCGATGGCACTCTCACGAGGGGGACAAGCTGCCCGCTCTGGCAGGCGTCGCAGAGCAGTTCTCCCGCGTGACTGGGGATTCCTACCTCGCAGGACTCTGGAAAAAGTCTTTGGTGCCTGACCTTCTTTGGAGGGCGGTCAGGGAGAAGGAACTCGACCCCAAGTCTTCGAGGCCGGCAAGATACCGTGCTCCGTCGTGGTCGTGGGCGAGCGTGAATTGGGGGGTATACTATGACAATGCTACGTTCATGGTGAATGCTTCAAAGTATAAGCAGATGGAGGTGGTGGACTGTTGGGTCAGCCTTGCAGCTGTGGAGGCGCCGTTCGGGGAGGTGACGGATGGTTCGTTACGCATTAAGGCGGCAGTTTTAAGAGAGCCTTTTGTGCGTGAAAAGGCCGGCAGATGGGAGCTTATGGTATTGAATGAAGACGGGAAGCACAGCCAGATTGGGAACGTTCATTTTGATGATATTGGGCCGAGAACGGGTGGGATTGTTTTTGTTTTCCTTCAGTGGGACGAGGACTGGAATGGGGAGGGTCTAGTGCTTGAAGAGCTGTCTAACGGACGTTTCAGGAGGGTTGGCATGGTAGATGCTTACCAAGCGCGGTGGATATATGACTTGGAGGCTGTGGTGATTGAGATTGTTTGAGCGAATACACAACCTGCGTCGCAAGACGTAATGACAGACCCCCAATAGCAACACTGCGTGTACATCTCAAAACGCATCCCTCTCTCTCCTGGCCACTCTCAAGGCTTCCCCAAAAGCCTCAACAAATCCAACCACATCCTCAAACCCATTATACAACGGCGCTGGCGCAACCCTAATGACATCCGGTCTCCTTTCATCAACAATCACCCCTTGCCTCTCCAGTTCCTTCATCACCCCCTCAAGCAACCCACTCCCCAACCCCAAGCTAAGCTGCGCCCCCCTCTGCTTCGGATCCAAAGGCGTAATAACCCTGAACAACCCCTTCTCCTCCTCCCCCATCCCCTCTAACTGCTCCTCCAAAAACTTCGTCAGCCTCAAACTCTTCTCCCTCAACTTCCCCATCCCACCCGCCTGCTCAAAAACCTCCAAGCTCGCACACAAACTAGTAATATCCAACACACTAGGATTACTCAACTGGAACCCCGCGGCCCCCTTGACAGGGTGGAATCTATTCTCCATCCCAAACCGACTCTTCTTATCATTCCCCCACCACCCAGCCAACCGGTGATTATACCCCTCCTCCGGCCTCTCATCAGTAATAAGCTTCGTCACAGCACTATTATTCTCATGAACAAACATCCCCCCAATACACCCCGGCCCCCCATTCAAATACTTGTACGAGCACCAAGCCGCAGCATCAACCCCCCACTCATGAAGCCTCAACTCCACATTCCCAACCGCATGTGCCAGATCCCAAATGACAAAAATCCCCCTCTCCTTCGCATACGTAGTGATAGTCTCAATATCAAACAGCTGCCCAGTGTAGTACTGAATCCCCGGCAACAACAACAAAAACGCGTCCTCTTTATGCTGGTCAATAACCCCACAGATCTCCTCCGTAGTCAAGATATTATCCCTCGACCTCTCCGACTTGAGCAAAACCATTGATTTGCTCGCATCCAACCCATGATGACGAAGCTGTGTCTCCACGGCAAAGTGATCGCTAGGAAAAGCCTTGCTCTCCAGGATGATCTTGTGCCGCTTGTTCGCATCAGGCTTGTAGAACGCAGACATGAGAAGATGGAGATTCGCAGTCAGAGTCTGCATGATTGCCACCTCGGAGACGTGAGCTCCCACGATGGGGGCGATCATCTCGGCTGCTCGCTCGTCGACGTCGAGCCATGTTGGCAAGGGGGAGTTGGTCAGCGGTTTAAAGTGCCCTTGGACGGCTTGGGTGGCCCAGGTGGAGAGGTACTGGGAGAGACGGGTTTGTGTGCGTCTGGGTTGGAGACCCAAAGAGTTGCCGCAGAGGTAGATGCACTTGGTTGTTGTGTCGCTGTCATTGTTATTGGCTATGCCAACCTGTCAGTTATCGAGGCTTGATATTGGATCAGTTGGGACTTGTACCTGAGGAACCCTCGGGTAACGAGGTGCTCGCGATTTGTCCCTTTGTCGGGATGTTGAACTCGTCCCTCAATAACCCCAGTTCATCATCCCGGTCCAGCTGGCGTGCTCGCTCCCTCGCATTTCCACTCCCGGCGGCGCCGGCGGGAAGAACGGGAGCTGAAGTCATTGTCTCTTTCTTGATGTGGAGTAACAAGCTCCGAGCAAGCAAAAGTGTGAGATATGGTGTGATGTATGTGTGACAGCAGAAACCCTTGAGCCAATTGTTCAAACTGCCGAAAAGTAAAAAGAGTTTCGATGTGTCTCTTGTCCAACACTGGATAAACTTCAACCCCTGTAAAAGTCACTCATACACAACTTCGCAGGTGATAGATGTTGTCGTCGGGTGTGATAATGAGGAAGGATTCAATCAATTGCCCTACCTGCGGTTCAATCAACTACCCCTCCATCTCTTCCGTTGATGAAACGGCGACAGATCCGAGAGGGGCACCACCGAACTGTGCCCCGCCCGGCCGGCGGCGGCCCCGCCATCAGCAAAAAAAACTAAAAGCGGAGACCTGCGGCAATCAACGGGAGAACCCACATGGAACCTTCCATTCCTGCCCTGCCAAGAAAAAAAACCCGATGAGTGACGTCCCTTGGATCCTAAACCTCCTTCCTTGGACCTTTGCGAACCGCAGCCTTCACGATGCATCTTTTCCGACCAGTGTGTCATGTAAACTCAGCCCTCTCTGATGATGACCTCAATTCTCCTCAGTTTTTAAGCTCCGACACCGGCGGGAAAATCAGACGGGACGAGCCTTTTTTCCAAAGTCTACTCCGCTATAAAAGCTGGGCAGATCGTACGTACGATTCATCGCCTGAGAACCCTATTCTCGGCACTTAACGAAGAGAATCTCGGACCAGAAAAGAGACCCAACTACCACTATGAGTAATAGAAACAAAAAAAACAAAAAGTGTGTGTCAGGAGAGTGTGGGAGAGAAAGACACCAAAAAATTTAAAACGAGACACAGAAAACAGAAACAGCTTTGCCTCTTTTCTTGGGAGGCACTTGGGGGGACACAAAGGATAGCAACCTCAGAGAAAGCAAGAACCTCCAAAATTGGAGAAAAGTCCTGTGTAACAACCCTGTTAGTGAATCGGACGAATAATCTCTGGGAAAAGAGCAGATTCTTTCCGTAGCTCTGCATGATGACAGAAAGGGGTAAAGATGACAAGCTTCAAGACTTGGTTTGCTGGAGAAGTTCAAGCAAAAGAGAAGAGGTTGATAGTCCTTGTGTTGTATGTGCCCATCCCAAGCAAGGCAAGGTACCTTGCATGTACATGTTTTGCTGTCACTTTGGCCCTTGAAAGGCGCATACGCCAGTATGCAAGCCCGGCCCTCCCCCGCTTGCATATATGGACTGGGAACCATCTGTTCTTCAGCAACAAGACTTGGAACGGAGACCTATCGCTTCCGATTCAAAGATCGGGAATCGAATGAAGCTCTCTCCTGATATCGTCCACGGCACCGAAGGGATGAAGATGGAACCCATGATCACGGATGACGATTCCGCATGGATTTCTGCCGTGCCCTTGGCATCAGGTAATACTCTGCAGGTATTTGGAGGATTGCTCTGATGACCTCAGCGTGATCTCGAATGTTGAGATGCAGCTCCGAGAGGGAGGTCAGACCTTGGGAGCAAAAGATCGGATGGTTGCTGGGGAGTTTCCGATATGTGACTGCAACAGAGTTGTCGAGGGAGAAATCTCAAATGTGTCCTTCAGTGGGACCCCTTTCGGACCGGGCAGAGACAAACTGGCCATGGCGAGAGTATCAGCAGACCAAAGAGAGAAATGGGAGTCATCTCTGTGCTCTGTAACGAATGTGGAAAAGGGGCGAAAGAATGAGCTGGAAATTGTTTGTTTTGTTTTGTTGGTGGTGAGCTCAGTCTGTTGGAGCGGTGGTAGTCTCACCGGGGCTCTCACGGGGCAGTGTTGCCGTACAGTGCATGAGACCTTCCGGCCGCTCCAGCTCTCCCAGATGCCAGGTTCGTGGAGATGCCGATTCGCACACCGGCGCTGTTGTCATCTCCATACCCAGCCCCTAGCCAACAGAAAAAATAGCAGTCTGGAGGCCTGGAAGGACTTGGCAGGGAGGAAGTTTCGCAACGGCGCCGAGCTGCAAATCTCAAGGTGAGCCCCGTGACCATGCCCCAGCCCGGCCCGTGTCGTCAAACAAGCCAGCGCGCCTGGGTGCCAGCACGAGGACAGCAGAGCTTTTTTCGCGCTCAACAAACCTGGCAGGTATCGGGGTACGTACCTTTTGGAGTTTGAACCTATGAGGTTAGAATCCGGTACACGTTTTGGCAGAGTCGCATCGTCGAAAAGAATAAATGCAAGATGCGGCCGGCATAGCAGCGGTCAAAGAGTGCTAAGTGGATAGCAGGAATCTCAGGTCGCCATCCGCAACATCAACTGCTTTGAACCAGAAAAGCTTTTGAAACGGGATACTGAAAAGAGAGCCACAATCCGGTCCCGTGCACCCTCAGGAACAAAATATGTATGCAGTAGGGCAGCAGGGCAGCAAACTGGAGGTTTTCATTACCCCCATTTTACTTGATGGCGATGCGCTTCACTGGGCTTGGTCTGGAAAATCCGGGGATGGTGGATGGCGGGGCACGCTGGGCAAGCCACAGCGGATCGAAATGCGGGGCAAAGGGGCCCAACCCGGGGCGGCCGTCGCTCTTACGTATTTGGGCCATCACGGGACCACTTTGCCTTGACTTTTCGTTGAGAATGAGAGTCTTTGGAGCAAACGTGAAAGGAACATTTTGCCGATGAGCACAGTCTGGGCTTTCATGATGCCACCGCCAATTGCGAATCCGAATTGATCTACCGCTATTATGCCAGGTCAGGACTGTAAGACGAAGAGGCGGTAAGGGAGAAGATGTGTTGCACGACTGGCTGGCTCCTTTGATATTGAATTCCGAAGTCTGAAGTCTGGGAGTTGTCACAGGGCTCGGCATCTCAAAACTCTGAATAACAGATTGAACCCAGTTGGTGATAGCAAACTAGCACAGCAGGTTCCACGGAGATGGAGATGTTGAAACCCACTCTTTCGTGAGTCTTACCTCCGTTCAAAGTCCATTGGCAAACCTTACGGGCGATAGAGCTGGGGATAGCGGTAGATCCTAGATCCATCTTCTGACACTTCCAAGCTATCCGTGAAGGGATAGAGAGCCATGGCAGTGGCGGTCGGGGCTTCACCGTCCCGGCGGGATCTAGTGCAAGTGTTTGACGAGATTGGGATTGGGCAGGGGAGATAGCTTGGATTTCCAATTGCTTGGGGCTCTTCCAGAACGTGCAACGCCGTCCCGCCTTGTGCCCAGTGAGCTGGGTAGCTGGGGAGGGTTGTGGTGGTGAGTAAGAGATTCAAGGGGATGGTTCGAGGCTGGCTGCCCTACGAGAAGCATCGGACCAGTGAAAGCAAGTGTGGTCTACAAGATTCCCGGACTCGAAAAACCGTCCAAAGAGCGCTCTTCTCGTGTAAATCAAGAAAATAATAATAAATTCCTCGGTATACGAACAGGTTGGAGTTGTCCTTCGTGTACTTGGCCATCGAGGTACCTGAAGTGTACCCTGGCTTGCAAAAAATACCCTGGAGCTGAGAACTCCACTCTTACCCCAGAACCTCGAATAGCCGCTCCAGGGGCGCCACGAATGGCAGCTAGGGATCCCAGAAACACTTTTTCAGTGACCTTTCAGGTACCGGCCCTGTGACCCAATCAGCAGAGTCCCAAATTGCCCCATCGGGCTTAGCACACCCGATTCCGTTTGTCAGAGCGCCCCAATGTCATCACGACACCCCGTTCTGACGGCGGAGACATGGACTGAGAGAGAGTACGTACAGTGCGGGCGAGTTCAACAAGAAAAATGTCTGAAAAGAGGAGTGTCCGATTGGAAACATATAAAGAGCCAGAGCTTCCGTCGTTTCTTTGGCTGGCGATATCAGGTTGTTGTTGACATTGTGTTATTATATCTCTACCAACACTTTATTTTCACTTACACTTACGGCTCACCACCACAACGAGCCCCGTCGTCTCTTACCAAGCAAGCCATTTTTAACAACTTGCTCCAAAAAAGTCAACGACCAAATCGGCGGATCTTCCTGTGGCTATTTTCAGACACAGACACGCCTTATCGGCCACGCTTGAAGCTTGCAGCCAAACAGCGTGCCAGACCTTATCTCTGTGCAACATTCCGGCGCCGTAACAGGTATCTTACACCCCTTTCGGTTCATCTGTGCCCCATCAACATCAATCCTCTGCCCCTGAGCCCTACTACTGCTGCTGCTACTGTTGCTGCTGTTGTGTCCCCGCCTATGGTTTCCGTTTTACAGCCCTTCCACCCCTCCACCAGCCAAAGACTCCTTTTTTTTATTTCCTCCCGTTAGCCTTCCTGCGGCGAGGCGCAGGTTGAGGAAGCGTTCAGCGGAAGGCTGTGTCTGCTCGGGACATGAACGAGATGAGCAGGATCGGGCCTTCCAGAGCTGAGCCAGGCTGGAAAGATGAGGTTTCCTTATCTCGGGCTCCGGCAGCGTGCCCTGGATTCTGGAACACATGTCTTGCCTTCCAGAAGCGGCAGCAACGAGGAGCAAGCACCGAACAGCGAAGAGCCGTGACACTTGAGATGGCGATCTGGGCTTTGTGAGAGCATTTGCACTAATACAATCTTGTGCAGACGAAAACAATCGAAACAGGACCCTCGGGATTTGCTGTCTGGGATAGATCGGCACTTTTCCTGCTTTCGCGGCATCAAACTCTATTTCCACCGGGCGAGACTAGACTTTAAGCCGTCTTTGTCTCCTCACGATCTGAAGCGACTGACACATCGCCCGTCTTCATCTAAGACACGACGATAAAAAAGGTAAACGAGATATCTTTTTTTCCCCATCGTATGCACCTTATCGCAGTTGCATCGCCCCGCCGTGCCCGTCTCATTCCGTCCAGGTTCAGGGACCCAGAAAACTAACATTGCTCGATGCAGCATCTACCGGGGCGCATATCGAAGAGATACGATACAAACCGAGTCTTGCGCCGCCGAATAACACCTCGGGCTTGATTCAGACCTCCAAGCGAGAGCCGCCAGGTACGTTCCAACGTTATGCATCCACCACCAGCATGTCCCCCATGTCACCACCTCTCCAGTCTGCACAAATATCTCCTCCTGGTAGCTCCAGGGCAAGAGGCAGGGGAAAAGGAACCCTCGAGGTTCTTATCTCAGACGGACCCACACCAGCTGCACAGCAACAGCACAGCACAGAAGCACCCAAGGGATGAGCAGGTGGCAGTACGGAGTACGAGCGTAGGTTTCAGTAGCGGTGAAGCATGCTTTCGCAGCTTGTTTGAACGCAGCAGAACCACTCTCGGAGGCTATACTCCCGGAAACGAAGAAGCACAGCTGCTCGCTCTGGCCGAGCTGCCGTCGATGCTATCTAAGTTGCCATGTCACTCGCTCTCATTCCTGGTCTCTTGTGCCACGCCGTCTGTGGCTTCTGCCTCTCCTAGTTCATCCGATGCCGGCATCTCTTCCCAACGTCAAACCTGATTGCCGCGATCAGCTATCGGGGTGAGCAGGTTCAAACGGGGCGAGGAGGGTCATGGCAAGGGCCAACTGCGGCTCCCTCGCCGCTTCGACAACCACCAAAAGCACACACCGCGCCCATGGTATCATACGCGCTCCGATGCACTCTTACACACCTGCCAACATGTCCCTCTATTCCTTTACAAAACTTGTGCTCGCTCCCCTCGAGCCCCCCAGCCTCTTCCCTTTCCGCTTTTCTCTTGCTCCTTAGATCCTTTGTCATTCCTCAGCCCTACCACCAACTTGCTCCTGCTCCCAAGCCACTCTCTCTTCGAGATTTAGCACCATGGAAGGCATCATGGTTGAGCCTGTGCTCGCCAGTCCTGTCGACCGTATGCGCCGGGTGTCTATCCTGACCATCAAGACTAACCTTCCAATGGACAGCTTTCCAGAGTATCAGGACCCCTTTTCGTCCTCAGACGACACCATGACTGAGTCTCCTAGCACCCTCAACCCAGCCAACAGGCTCGTTGAGAAGACCAGAGGCACAGAGGTTTCCCGACACCCATCACCCCAGCCAACACACGTCAGCTATCCCAAGATGAACGGCAACGGCCACAGAGTCTTGCGGTCGGCCACGGTTGGCTATGTTGCCCCTGAATTCAAGGGCAAGGCCGAGCAGATGAAGCAAGGTGAGCACTGTCAAATCTTGTGATTAGTATAGGAACTGACAACTCTGCAGTACGGGAAATCATCCTTAAGGGCGGTTGGATTCCCGAGGCTCTCGTCGACGCTCAGATCATCTGGTTCTACAATGAGCTGGCCATCGACGATGTCTACTTCCAGCTCGAGTCTCCTGAAGCCATCAGCAACCACATCACATCGCTCTATGCTGCCAAGGTAGCAGCCTTCTCTCGTGAGGACAAGCGTGAGGAGATCCGGCTGGACATGGAAGCCTCTGACCATGCCATCTACATCGACACAAGCGAGCCCGGCAAGACCTCCATCAACGGCCCAAGATACGAGCACCGCCTCGAGTCCAAGTACTTGGATGGTGGTGACACCTCGAAGCGCTTCCGCGTCGAGACTTTCCGGTCTCCCGGTGTTTTGGGACAAGACGCCAACTCCAAGGCCACTCTCCGCTGCTACTTCGTGTATCAGTGCCAGTTTGTTGATGCAAATGCCGACCCAATGGAGACCAGATTGGAGGTTATCAGCGACCGCATGTTCCTCGCCAAGGCCACCAAGAACACTAAGGTGATCTATCAGGAGATCATCGAGAGCGCTGTCCGCCGTGCTGGTCCCGTTATCGAGGTCTACGACATTGAGGGGACCCCGGAGAAGAGATTGGTCGTTGCTTTCCGCTCAAGAACTGCCAGGGGCATCTTCAGCGCCCTGAGCGATCTCTATCACTACTATGGCGTCACCAGCTCCCGCAAGTACGTCGAGCAGTTCTCCAACGGCATCACCATCATCAGCATCTACCTGCGACCCGCCTCCAACCTCGAGGGCAAGTTCCCCTCCATCGAGGAGTCCATCCACCAGATCACCAAGGAGATCTCCCTCCTATACTGCATTCCCCAGACCAAGCTGCAGGACATGTTTGCCTCGGGCGAGCTCAGTTTGCAGGAGACCATCTACGCTCACTCTGTGTGGGTCTTTGTGCAGCACTTCCTCAACCGTCTTGGATCTGAGTATGCTTCGCTAGTGGCGGCCCTCAATCCCAAGAACAATTCGCACGCCGAGATTCTGTCCAAGATGAAGAAGCGTCTCCGCACTGAGACTTTTACGCCCGACTACATCCTGGAGATTATCAAGTCTCATCCTGGACTCGTCAGGGCTTTGTATGCCTCCTTCGCCAATGTGCACCTCAAGGTCGGCCCTGGTTTTGACCGCCACTTCATTGCCCCCACGCCAGCCTTTGAGGTCCTCTCAGACGCCAAGCTCAAGGACAAGATCACCAAGGACGTGAATAACGAGCACGAAGAGATGGTGATGACTGCCTTCCGCGTCTTCAACAATGCCGTCCTCAAGACCAACTACTTCACCCCTACCAAGGTCGCCCTCAGCTTCCGCCTCGACCCAAGCTTCCTGCCCGAGTTTGAGTACCCCAACCGTCTCTACGGCATGTTCCTCGTCATCTCTTCCGAGTCTCGCGGTTTCCACCTTCGCTTCAAGGACATTGCCCGTGGCGGTATCCGCATTGTCAAGTCCCGCAGCAAGGAGGCCTACTCCATCAACGCCCGCAACTTGTTCGATGAGAACTACAATCTCGCCAGCACCCAGCAGCGCAAGAACAAGGACATTCCCGAAGGTGGCTCCAAGGGTGTCATCTTGCTCGACCCCAAGCAGCAAGACAAGGCTCGTGAGGCTTTCGAGAAGTACATTGACAGCATTCTCGATTTGCTCCTCAAGCCAGAGACCCCTGGCATCAAGAACCCCATTGTGGACCTCTACGGCAAGGAGGAGATCCTCTTCATGGGTCCCGACGAGAACACGGCCGACCTCGTCGATTGGGCCACCGAGCACGCCCGCCATCGCGGCGCTCCCTGGTGGAAGTCCTTCTTCACCGGCAAGTCCCCCAAACTGGGCGGTATCCCCCACGACACCTACGGCATGACCACTCTCTCGGTCCGCGAGTACGTCAAGGGCATCTACCGCAAGCTCAACCTCGACCCCTCCACCGTCCGCAAGATGCAGACTGGAGGCCCAGACGGTGATCTCGGCTCCAACGAGATCCTCCTCAGCAACGAAAAGTACACCGCCGTTGTCGATGGCTCCGGTGTCCTTGTCGACCCCAACGGAATCGACAAGGACGAGCTCCGCCGCCTGGCCAAGAACCGACAGATGATTGTCCACTTTGATCTGTCCAAGCTCTCCAAGGATGGTTACCGTGTCCTTTGCGAGGATGCCAACATCACTCTCCCCACCGGCGAGGTCGTCAACAACGGCACTGCCTTCCGCAACACCTACCACCTCCGCGACACTGGCCTCACTGACATGTTTGTCCCCTGCGGTGGCCGACCCGAGTCCATCGACCTCGTCTCCGCCAACAAGCTCATCAAGGACGGCAAGTGCACGGTCCCTTACATCGTCGAAGGTGCCAACCTCTTCATCACTCAAGACGCGAAACTTCGCCTCGAAGAGGCTGGTTGCATCGTCTACAAGGACGCCTCGGCCAACAAGGGCGGTGTCACCTCGTCCTCTCTCGAGGTGCTGGCCTCCCTCTCCTTTGACGACGAGTCCTTCGTCAAGGACATGTGCGTCGACAAGAAAGGCAACGCGCCCGAGTTCTACAAGGCGTACGTCAAGGCCGTGCAGGAAAAGATTCAGGAGAACGCCAGGTTGGAGTTTGAGGCCATCTGGGCTGAGCACCAGAAGACCAAGGTGCCTCGTTCCATTCTGTCTGATAAGCTGTCGCAGGCGATTACCAGTCTGGATGAGCAGCTCCAGCACAGCGATCTGTGGGAGAATGAGGCGCTCAGGAACAGTGTCTTGGCGGACGCGCTGCCGAACTTGTTGATTGAGAAGATTGGGTTGGAGACGATCATCAAGCGGGTGCCGGATAGCTACCTGAGGGCCATCTTTGGGAGTTATGTGGCGAGTCGGTTCGTGTATGAGTTTGGGAGTGGGGCGGGGCAGTTTGCGTTCTATGATTTGTGAGTGTTTTTTTCTTCTTCCCTCAACCTTTGATGATAAACATGAGGCTAACATGTTGGGAATAGCATGTCGAAGAGGATGGCCAAGGTCCAGCAGCAGCAGAAGGCTTAGGGTTTGGGCATTTTAGGATTTGGGAGCGAGCATTGCTTTACTTGATGTTTTACTTTTGAGCGTTTCTTGATTTGGGGGGGGGGGGGTCTGTTTAATGTGGTTTTTTTTTTCATGGCGAATTGGGGCGTAAAATAATCTTCAAAAGCAAAAGAACAGAAGGCGCTCGTTCACAAGAGCAGAAGAGAGTCAGTCATAGAGAAAAAAGACGCTAGGCATGGAATATTTACAGGTCGAGACATTTATTTTTTGCAGTTTTTTCTTTGGTTATTTGTGTTTCGAGGCTTTGTCCCTGAATCGAATCGTTTTGAAGCTGGATCATAGAAGAGAGGGATAGACATGGCGTATGATGATGGGCTTGGATTTTTGTTTAATGAGACAGATAGGTTGTCGGGAGTCGAGGAGATACATACATACACTTTGGATGAGGACATCAGCAATGAGAACAATGTTGCCAAAATGCCAACCTCGGTGATAGTGAGCATGTTTCCTGAGTCACTAATAAGATCCCGTCTCCCCAGATTACCCCTATACTCGACTCCCAGTCCATACCCAAACAAGCCCAGCGATATCGGAAAGGTCAGAACGGCAAAGTTTGCTCTGTCGTTATTCTGTGTCATTTTGAATAATTTCTCAAGAAGAGAGAGTGTGTGATGAACATCTGATGCGGTGTGAGATGCGAGTGTGGGCGTGCGTGTGTCACATTGCATATCTTGCGCTTGCATACGTACACACATACAGACGATGCACAAGGGTCATTGCATATGCAAGATACTGTGCATATACACCCGAGGAGGGTGGGTGTTCGGGAGGTGGCAGAGACGAGCGGGTAAATATCTATTGTTTTTGTTTGTGCTGCTTGGGAGGTCGCTGTTGGTTGTAGGCGCGGTTGCGGCTACGGATTGCATAATGGGATGGGTATAAGATGGGGAGATTCGGTTGGTGAGGTGCTGGTTTATGAGGGAGGGTGGTTGGTATGGGGTTTTTGGATCATAAATGTGATCGATATGTGAGAGAAGATTCAGGGGAGGCTTCAGATGAGTGATGGGTGAGCTATGAACCAAGCAATGAGGCAGGCCAGAGTGAGGGGAATATGAAGATATCGATTGAATGCTGGGTCATATTTAGGGAAAGTGCTACTCGAGTACCTGCCATTTGCTCCCCGAAAACCAGCATCTGACCACCACTGATGTGGAAGGTGCAGATGAGGTTGACCACCGCTCCTTCCCTCCCCGAAGGTGGAGCTCAGAATGTTGACTGTGAGATGCCTTCCGTATTGCTTGCGCTGGCTCTCACAGCTCTTCAGTTCGACATAAAGTAGGAATAAAGGGGACCAACAAGGACCAGAGCAGCAAGCTTGATGGTCTACTCGTCCAGACCAAGATCAAGAAGGCAGAAAACAAAAAGAAAAGTCGAAAGAGACAGCAAAAGCTTGCGGGCCAACCTCCCAACCGTTATTGGAAAGGGTGGCCGGTTACGAAAACCTCGGTGGTTTTACTCCGGATCGAACTCGGGGGCTATCGGTTGCAAGCCCCCGGCGGGGGGCGGTGGGCGGCAACAGCAGCTCTTACAACTTAACCATTTGTCCTGACCACAAGGGCGCCCTGATCAAGATGCTCAAGCTGCTGTTGAGAGTGGCGTGCAGGACCTAATATATATACTGTGCTCCTGCCTGTCCTGATGATCCAAAAGACAATTGCATTCATCACTACCACAAACTCGTATTCTTTTCCCTATTCGAGCTCCAAGCCAATAAAAGAAAACAATCCCAAACGTCTATACCATACCCAATCATCCTCACCCTCCTACTCCTCCTCATCATCCCCATCCCCCTCCCTCTCACTCCCCTTCCCCCACCCCCCTCTAACCTTGACCCTCTTCAACCAACTCCAATGCGCCCACGGGTCCTTGATCAGCCTCCTCATCTGCTCCATATCCCCATCTTTGGGTCCTACGACCGGAATCCCCCACTCGACCGCCCTATTCGCCCACTTCACCGCGGTCCACGGCTCCCCAACAGCGTTATACTCGAGCGCCAACCAAGTATACGCCTCATACATGCTCCCCCAAAGCTTCTCCTGCTCATACAGACTCAACACCAGCTCCGCCAACTGCGGCGTCGCCCTGCTATCCGAGCTCCAATCGCTAAACTCCCCAACCAGCTCCTTGATCTGGTGGATCCTAACATCCGACGCCTCGACCTGCGCCTGTTCCTTTGTGCACAACGGGCAAGCACACTGGAACCCCCAAATCCGGTTCAGCTTCTTGTTGCGCGCGCGCTTCTTCATAATGGGGTTGATGTACGAGAGGGTGAGCTCCTCCCCGGGGCTAATGTCACGGATGGCGTGGATGTACTGGGTTAGCGTCTCGTGATCAAAGTAGTAATCCGCGTTGGGGCGGCAGTCGTGGTTCATCCTTGCGATCTCGGGGAAGACGACATAGAATCCGTGGTCCTGGGTCTCGTCGTCGCTGTCGGGGTCGATGTCGAAGGCGTTGGTGGAGCAGATTTTGTCTATCCGTTCGATGTGGGTGCGCTCGATGCCGTCGTGGGTGGAGAGGGCCATGATGTGCTCGCGGTGGAGGTCGGGGAGCTGGTCCACGGCTGCGGCTTGAAGTTGGCGGTATTCTTCCTTGGGGAGGTCCTCAAAGGCGCGGTAGTCGATCATCAGGGAGGGTGTGTTGGCCATGATGAGGTCTCCGCGGTGGATGTGCACTTTGGCGATGAGGCCCATGCCCTTGCCGGGGATCTGGTGCTTCTCGTATTTGGAAGGAGCGGTGCGGTGGAGGTCTTGGTTGATATTCTTCACGAGGTCCTGGTCGACAAAGGCTGGGGTGGTGGCTAGATACTCAGCGCGGTGGGGGGTGGTGATGAAGGAGGCTCCCCTGCCGTTGGCAAAGTTGTTGTCTGTGAAGACGCAGATGGAGGTATCGGGTTGGGGGCTGGTGAAGCATGGTGTGGTATGGGTCCAGGGATATCCTTTTGGCTTGCTATCATCGTCTGTTGAGGTAACAGGCTTTTGGGCGGTGTCGTTTTCCTTCCAGAGGAACTCCTTCTCGTCGGCCGCACCCATGCTTCCTAGGCCATCTTGACATCCACCGGTGAGAGAGCCACCGTCCCCGCAGATCTTGACTGCCCCCAAATCTTCGTGATCATGACTGTGATCAGGGTGGTGATGGTGGTCATAATTATGACCTTCGTGGGCCAGAACCAAGCTGGCCAGAACTGACAGCTCCGAGAGTCGGTGTAATAACCTCATGGTGATGTATCGCGAAGTAAACAACCCAATTGCAACAAACCAGCAGTTTCAAAAACCTCAAGTCAGCGAAGGGAATAAAACTTCTGGCCACTTGTCCAGCAGTGTTCGCCAAATATCAATCAGCAACAACCCTTCTCAGACAAAAAACAGGGCAAGACTCAAGTTGGAGAAAAAAGGGAAAGAAACATTCCATCCCTCTGAACGGAGGTTGAGGCCAGCTTTACCAGCATCTCCTGCCCCTCGAACGGAAGATCTATTCTCTTCTCGGCGCGTCGCCTCGCCCATGCCGGCATCTAAAACGAGTGTGGCGGCAGGGGTTCTCTTCCCGCCGCCTTGCAGCCTCGATAGCATCTTGATACAGAAGTGAGGGGCGCATCTGTTAGTGCAAGTCATTGACAAGGGCAGCTGTTGTTTTCCCTGTCTTGGTTCCAGACCGTTCGCTACTGCAAGGGCTGGGCGGGGTGGGGGGGGCCAAAGCAAACCCCTCCACTAACAGGTCTCAGATATCATGTTGTTAGAGCCCTTCAGCTCCGTCTGAGGATTTGTTACAGGTTACACATGTCGCAGAAGTTGAAGTTGAACATTCGCCGCAATCCTGTCTCCTAAATAAAGGTGAATAAGTCAATTGGGATGATCCCTCCTCTGCCTTATCGACGGTGGAAACAAGAAGCTCTGACCTTCCTTCCCCAGACGGAAACACAAGTCAAAGTGGGGGGCACGCTATCTTCAAGGTGGACGGGCTGGCGTTGAGGTGATTCACCGGCTGTCACGCTACACCTGCCATCCCGCCGCTGGCCGTTTGACGGCCCATTTTAGCGCGCTCCAGGCCATTGGGTGCGGTTAAACATGATTAAGTTGAGCTGACGTGGATTTCAAGAATCCCATCATCAACCGCTCAGAGATGATGTGATGCGATCTGGATCTGAGGCGGCACGGAGATCTCCAATCTACCTCCATCTTGGCTATTCCCTAACTTCCCCCTCATACCTAAGGTATATATTGTGTGTGATATTCTAGCTTACTAAACCTCTACCAGCCAAGCTATCCTCGCGAAGCGGACCATCACTTCGACTTGCAGGCGCTGAATCAGCAATCCGCGTTACACACAATTATCCAATCCTTAGTCCCGGCTGACAATGCAGTCAACTAGCTGTACGTTGCATCGGGCAGGCAGTGCCTTAGTCAGGACATAGCAACAACACGAACAACGTGGTGGATATTGAAGCCATCGACATCATCCTTCCGCGGGCTGGACTCTCGGTGGAGTGCTGATTCCGGTGTTCAAGGCCGCGGTTCTCGTCATCACGGACTCGATGCTGTCTAGTCGATGTGACCCATGATGACCTGGGCACTGACGGGATGCTGATCAAGTGATTAGACGGTGCTTGTCAAGATGCTTGTGGCGGTCAACAACGATAATCCGGGAGGCAAGGCGCGGGACGATAATGAGGAAAGAAATTCAGGATATCGAGAGTCCTGCGGGGATCTTGGGGATTGAAGTTCATGTATAAAAGGAGTTGGTACAGCCAGAATATCAATCACTCACTTCCATCACCATCACCATCACCATCACCATCTCCTCATCAACCTTCTCACCAGTGATTTCACCTTGACCATCTCACAATGAAATTCACCACCCTTCTCACAACCGCCCTCACGGCCCTCCCTATCCTGGCCGACTCGTCCTTCCCCTGGGAACGCCTCAACAAAAACGACTCCCTCCTCATCATCGTCGACCTCCAAGAAGGCCTTTACAATCTCGCCCGTGACTACGGTATGTCCCCCCCTTTCCCCCTTCCCCTTCTCACACCCCTTACTAACCCCCCCAGACCCAACCCTCTTCAAACAAAACATGCTCGCCCACTCCGCCCTAGGCCTTGCCTTCCCCACCCTCCCCGAAATCCTCACCCCCTCGGCCTCACCCGGCCCCAACGGCCCCCTCCCCCACAAAATCCCCACATCCACCCCACCGTTCCTCCTATTCATCCCGTTAAA